AATTGCTGCACATTATTTGTTTGGATGATCGCTTCATTCTGAGATGATATCTGAGTATAAATTCTCCCCAGGCGACCAGGAACAGTGATTTCTTCGATTTTGATCCCGCACAAGCTCCCGGTTTCTTCGGGAGTGGCCACGCTCAATACGAAATCCTTGCATGCCTCATGATCACCTTGTGAGGAGTTGATTATATCGTTCAGAAAATACTGAGTTTTCGGGGAAGCGAGTACAGTTTTCCACCAATGAGGCGCCTCAGGTTCCTCGTGAAATCTAGAATCGAACAATCAATGACCGGGGCTAATTTAAGGTTAAACACTCACGATACGTTTGCATTTGGGTACCAGCTCTTCATCACCGAGACCAATTCTCTACCATGCCATGTGGGTACATTTTGGTCGGAACCTCTGAATGGTGTTAGTCGGTATTCGAGATAGATGTATCTTGAAGCACAACCCACCCATGAATGCTCAATATAGGAGTCTTCACTAGATTACTTGCGAAGACGTCGTTGTCATCAGGCAATAAGGTCGACTCCAATATCCACTTTAATTGAGCATCGATGAAATGAGACCCATGTGAGTGATGTAAGGGTATATACAGTTGCGACTTGATGTATGCAGCAGCGGGTATTGCTTTATAACGATATTGTAGATTCAGTGTCATCGGCGAACGAAAAGGAAGGACACGGCGCCTCACCAGCTATGACTTTGTCAGGATATCGTTCTGCTAGGTACCAAGTGCCTTGTCCACCATTGGAATGACCGATGAGAATCGTTCTATGTTCATCAAAGGACCAGTTATTCCAATTTTCTTGCATTTGTAGAATCCGGTGAAATGATACAACTGATCCCCATACATCTAAGGCGCTTGGGCCGTGCCAATCGAACCCCTTGGAATAACATGATTAGTTAAACGACACTTTTATTAATCAGGATCACTACCCAAGGTGTTCTTCCATTCGGGAAAATGATCCAACTCTCATCTCGTTGTGGTATTGAACTAGTCCAGAACGAATGGGACGCTTCAACACCAGCACCATCTTTCGATTGGTGAGAAATAAGACATTGGCGAGAATGATTCACATACGGAGGGCGACAATAACAGGCGTTGAGGGGCTCGGTCGTTTAGGAGGCTTCACCATATAGTACAAAGCGGTTTGTCCTAGGAGATAAGTCGCTTTGTACGCAACCTCCTCTTTTCTCTCCCACCACAATGGCTTATGAGCGATTGGGATGTTCATGTCCAAGGTAGTAGAGTCAATGCGGTGCGACTCCATTCTTTGGGCGTCGACAGGACGAACTTCGATGGAGATTGAAATGTAGTTATTGGTATATGTAGTGTTTTGTGTGAACGATACTGGTAAGATGACAGTTTGAGATGGTGCAATGCGTATAGGGAGGTGTTTATTGGTGGCCTCGAGTCCCTATCACTAGAATGAGCTATGAATGACAATCTAAATGGAACGTACGATGGAATTTATATGGATTGTCGAAACTTCCCACCAGCTGTTGTGACTGACGACACCTATCCCAAAGACGCCTTCGGAGAGGGCCCACCCGTCTATAAAGTCCGGAGCCACGGAAAGCTCTGAATTTATAGACACAGTGGGGTCCGGGTTATTTGGTGAGATCAAGAAGTCGATCATTATACGCTGTATTGGAGCTTCTTGTCCATTCACATCCAATGGATCTCCAAAGAGTCTGATTTCCGAGTCAGCTGATATGACGATGTGATATATGGTCGTCTTGCTCGTATCTGGTAAATTTGGGAGCTCAATAATTTGATCCGGAGAGTTTGGAAGATCATAAATATTGCCATTGTGCCACTTAGGAGTGTAGTTAGGATACTGTTCCTCTGGAATTATTGCAAAGAATGATGCTTGTCGAATATTGGCTATGATGGACGTAGGAACTTGCACCTCTGGGCCAGCACCCGGTGGTGGTGAGATACGCAGTCTTGTGTGAAGCAAGGCATGATGTTGCAAAATCGACCATCCTTCCGTGGCGCGTAATTGTTTCCATCTGGTAAGAAATTCAGTACTTTCAATCGAACTGAGATATGTTCTGCTTACGGAACTTCTGGGAACGAAGCTTCTAATGCTCCGCCTGACATTCTTCTCTTTGTCCATCCTACAACACCACCAACGACTAGAGACGAAGAATATTCTTCGATGAGTATAGTGTCCCAACTCTGTGAGACTGTAGAAAATTGTTAGACTGTAGTAATTGATAGGGACAAGACTGACGGTTTACTGGATATGAAGGTGACCTAAAATGTTGCTCTCTAGCGTGTTGTGGAAACGGTCCTAAAACATCCCATTCATTCTCAATCTCTAGCTTCCACGAATCCGAACAAGGCAGCTCTCTGCCTGAATTGACAATTTGCTGCTCAGCATGCGGCTGACGGAGAAAGGGTTGCGAATCGTCACAACCGAGGATGGGTTTAATTATGGTAAAATATGCCAAAATGAATACTGTGTTCTTCCAAAACGAAGGGTTGAACCGACTCCATCGTTCGTGCATAAGGAAGGGGTGTGTTGAACTGTTGTGGCAACGCATCACCTGGCCATTCTCGAGATTCGAGTACAGAAAATTTTGTTAATATTTGCATGTGTAATCTCTGGAATACTGTGGCTAAATTTACAAGCTATTAGGTTCCTGAATTTGAGAATGTCCTCCAGCAGGAAAGGCGCAACTTAGGAGTGCTGAGTCTGAAAATATTCTGACCCGCCCATCCCAAGCCGTTGACCAAGATGGATGTATGTGGCGAATCCTCACTCACAACAAAATTCAATTCTGACTCCAATGAACTCTAGCGCGTCAACGCTCTTCAGACCGACGAGGACATGCTCAGTGATGTTATTCCAGACAGCAAGCAAATTTCGCGCCAGGTATCCCTACATTCTTTGTTACACTTTATCATTGCTTATAACACGGAAAAACGCGTAGGAAACCCCCGAAGAGTTCGAGGAAGTTCCGGAGGACGACCAGGAGGGCGACGAGCAGGATGAAGATCAAGACGAATTAGAAGAATCAGATCAAGAACAAGCAGATGGAGGTGCAGTCAGTCCATTCCTCACTATATTCGCGTTCGCGCTCGCTGATTTTGTTCTTGCTCACTGCCCCACACATTTTCTGGCTGGATTCTAACAATACATGTCTCTACTCGCCGCGCTCCATAGACGCTCTCCCCGTATAAACAAAAGCGACTGGATGCCAAAAAGAAGACACAGGCTAAGAAGCAAAGGAAACGTGCCCAGGACGGAGAACTGGATCTTAAACGGAAAGAGCTCGAAAAGGCTAAGGTGCGCTCACGCACCCATTTCATTCTAACTGGGTGATCCGAGAATCTTGATTGCTAAAGTTTACCTCTGCATAGGTCGCCGACTCCCTGAAGCGTTACTCATACCTGCTCGGCCAAACCGAACTTTTCCAACATTTCGTTGACATCAAGGTCAGCCTTCCCCGACTGTACTGTCTAGAAAATAATCCTAATAAATTCGTAGCGTGCCGCCGACCCGGAGTATGCTGCCCTATTGGATAGCCAAAAGCCCAAGAAGAGGGGTCGAAAGCCCAAAAACCAACCAGCCCAAACGGACGCACGTCACCGGAAAACTGAGAAGGAAGAAGATGAACAGCTCCTAAAAGATGAGGTGAAGGCTGACGATGACGACGACCAACCCTTTGTCTTTGAGCAATCCCCAGCGTGTTCGTTTTATCACCTCATCCGTCAGGGCTACGCTAATCTTTTTCTTAGACGTAAAAGGCGGTCAAATGCGACAGTACCAGGTACAAGGTCTCAACTGGATGGTTTCCCTCCACCAAAATGGTCTGAACGGTATTCTCGCAGACGAGATGGGGTATGGAAATTTTCTTCATATCCTTACTCGTATTTGTACTAACTTAGGATCAGTCTTGGCAAAACTCTCCAGACCATCTCCTTCCTTGGCTATCTCAAGCACCTAAAGGGCATACCGGGACCCCACTTGATTGTGGTTCCAAAGACGACTCTACAAAACTGGGCTCGCGAATTCGCCCACTGGGTACCCGACTTTGACGTTGTGGTACTGACCGGTACCAAGGAGGAGCGCGCCGAAATCATTCGAGAACGTCTATTGGATTCCAACTTTGAAGTATGCATAACGTCTTACGAAATATGCTTGATCGAAAAATGGGCCTTCAAGAAATTCTCCTTCGAATACATTGTCATTGATGAAGCCCATCGAATCAAGAACGTCAACTCCATTCTCTCTCGTATCGTTCGCGAGTTTATGTCGCGAAACCGTATGCTCATCACTGGAACCCCACTGCAAAACAACCTCCAAGAACTCTTTGCCCTTCTTAACTTCATTTGTCCAGAAATCTTCTCAGATTACAGGGACCTGGAGAGTTTCTTACATAAGGATGCCAAGGGTAAGAAGGAAAGCGACAGCGAAGAAGATGGAGAGGATAAAGATGCGAGCGAGAAAGAGCCAACTCCCGAGTTAACCGAGGAAGAGAAAAGCAAGAAGGTTGTTGAAGCACTACACAAGATCCTTCGTCCATTCCTCCTCCGACGAGTCAAATCTGATGTAGAAAAGAATCTCTTGCCTAGTAAGCATCCCAGCCCTTCCATTTCTGACTTTAGGGATCTCAATCTTCCGCAGAAAAGGAGATCAATATCTACGTCGGCTTATCGGACATGCAAAGGAAATGGTATCGATCAGTATTGGAGAAAGATATCGATGCGGTCAACGGTAAGGGACTCTGAAGTTTGACGTGAAACAGCCTAACCCTCTCTCAGGTCTCACCGGTAAAAAGGAAGGCAAGGCCCGTTTGATGAATCTCGTCATGCAACTCCGTAAAGGTAAATATTATGTTATCATTTGTGAATAGTACCTGATACTGTCATTTAGTTACATGTCATCCCTATCTTTTCGACGGCGCTGTAAGTCAATCGATACCCCTTCGTATTTCTGGGTTAATTCACTCGTGCGTGTTTCGCCTCTCGTTATAATGTCGTCAATGTCATCGTCGATAAGCATGCTAAGTTGCCATTAGTGTCTACGCTCAAAGTAGGAGACTCAGGCCCACCTGCTGCTAGAGTTTACAATGCTTTCAGCCCCATGCTGGATCATGTCCAACAGCTCCTCCTTGTTTGCCGCTGGAAATCAAGGTAAGTTATAGTCCCTATTACGGAACAAGCAACATTTACCTTTAGTTGCCGTATTGCGGTCCTGCTGTATTACCAGTTGATCCAGGCGCAACTTTTGTGCTGCTCTCTCGAGCATGCGTTCTTCTACGCTACCATCTGTAATGAAGCGGAAGACATATACCTGCTTCGTTTGACCAATGCGATGAGCACGATCCATAGCTTGAAGATCTGCTTGAGGGTTCCAATCACTGTCATAAAGCACGACAATATCTGCAGTAGTGAGGTTGATTCCAAGACCACCAGCACGTGTCGTAAGTAGGAAGATGAACTTTTCGCTTCCTGGTTTGTTGTACTCGTCGATACTGGAGATACGATCCTCATGGTTGGTGCTACCATCGATGCGGCAATATTCTGAATCGTGTCAGCAACACATAACAAAGGCCAGGGGTGTACTCACTATACTGTCTAAAGTGACAATAATCTTCAAGTATGTCCAACATACGGCTCATTTGACTGAAAATAAGAACTCTAGAACCGTTCTCTTTCATCCGAGCCAAAAGTTTATCGAGGATGATCATCTTTCCTGCATTCTGGATGAGATGTTCGTCGGTGG